ATTATTTGCCCTTGTTGTGGTTATGCAGACTGTGCACACCACCAGTTGCTAAGAAGCCTAAAATGTGTATATAATTTTGTCTCCTTGTAATAAATAAATAAATCACACAATAAATCTTTTCAACTTGCAATCATTTTGTTTTTAGATCAAAAATTCAAAATTTATATGGAGGGGGCGAAATTCCTAAAGGGGGGCGATATTCCTAGGAGATTCGCCCCGGGGGGAGGGGCGAATATCCTAGGAATATCGCCCCCCTTTTGAGAGGGGGGCGAATCTCCTGGGGGGGGGCGAATCTCCTGTGACACCGGCATCCCTGGCAGTATTGGTATTTTTACGAGCTCTGATTGGTTTAGCTTGCAAAAGCTTTGCTATCATTGGCTACTGCTAAAAGCAAGCATTGGTCTGAACTCCCTTGGGGATTACAGTATTTCTTGTTTACGTGTTTGAAGCTGGAATTTAATTACTTCAAATGACTTTACTGTTTTAAGTCGTTTAAAGCCCCATTTACATGAGCAAATTTTATTTGACAAATTTCATATGTCAAAGACATTTTGCTCGTGTGGATGATGCATTTGTGACAAATTTATTGTGACAAATGCATTTGAACAAAAGCTAGCATGCTAGCTTTTGATCAAATGCATTTGTCATATGAAATTTGTCAAATAAAATTTGCTCGTGTAAACGGGGCTTTAGGTCATTGAGGCCATTTAAGTTAGGTCTGTGTTTATTGAATCATGGGTGCGTGAACAAATTACTCTATCTGCTTTTGTGTTGAAAACTAGTTTTGCCAGTAAACTCAAAACTGTTTATATCACAATAGACTGCAGAGCAAAGCCAAGGGGAACCATTGCTTTGTTGTCTCATAAGGACCTATAATCAAATCACACTGTTCTCCATAATCTGTAAGGGAAAGTACATTTATTATGCCGAGGGGGGGGATGAAGATGTTAAGGGGGGGCTCCGAAATATTTTCTGGCATTAAAGGGGGGGCTCTGAAAGTTCTTGATATACTGAGGGGGGGGGGGCTCTAAACTTTTCAAAGGTTTGACCCCAGCAAATTAAAGTTAAAATTTTTACATTTTCAGGTAAAATTTGCATAATAAAGTAATTATTTTTGTGAAATGATAACCATTTTTGTAAAATACAGTCAATTTACATGCAATTTGTTTGCGAAATTTGCTTTAGAAAGCGCCAGAAATTCAGTCCTAGAGCTTCAAAAATGTAAAAATTTTAGTATGAGAGTGCCAATCAATCACAAAAAGCTTTATTATAATTATTACACGTATAATCCTCTGACATCCCCCCCCACCCAAACGTCAGATGCAGTGCTCTCACAATCAAATTTTCGAATTCCTTAGAAAAAGCTCGAAAATTCCTCAGATTTCCTTAAAATTCCTTAAGTTGGTAAAATTACCACAAGGCCTGATCACACAGTTGCAAAAAGTGTTTTTTTCCTCCTTTCTTCTGTTTTTCAGGTTTTATAACCTTGTTTCTAAGCACTAATGCTTATGCACTTGTTCGGCATAATGCCATAAAGAAAACATTCAACATGATGTATTTTTGATCCGTGCTGCATGAAGGGCTAAAAAATCTGTAGATTTCAGAAGAAACAGCATATACTGACATTTAACTTTTGAGAATTTTAATGAAAACACCAGTGGGGATCGTGCCGAAGGCACGGAAAATTTTAAAATTTGAATCCCGGAAATGGCATTTGCAGCGTTCTGAGAACACAGTTTGTAAAAAACTAGGGTTTCAAAACACTGTTTTAATGGTGCGTTTTGTTATAAATCACATGCCAAGCCATGTACAGAAACATATACAGTACTATTATATTATGATGATAATTACGTTATATGAGTGTGATTTGTGTTATTTGGTACAAGATTTTTGCAGTCTTTCAAAATTATTTGGGGGGGGGGGGCTCAGAACGCCCCCCCTAGCCCCCTCCAAGTGTCCGCCACTGGAAAAGACAGCCATATGTACATTTATGACATAGAGAACATGCGAATATATGTAATTATGTGTGTATAATGTTGCTACTCTCAAGTTTAAATCTCATTTGCGCGGCGTGGTTATCCTCCGTCCAACGTTTTTAGTCCAGGATAAAATATTTCGAAAATTCCTTAAAAAAATCCTCAAAAACGTAAATTCCTTAAAAAAATCCTTAAAACTCTTCAAAATTCCTATTTTTAAGGATAATTCCTTAAAAGTGAGAGCACTGGTCAGATGCTTTGCTACGTCCCTGATGGTTGTATTCGAAACCGATTTCAGTTTTAAGATATCCTTAATCTGCTCTTCTAAATGGATACATGAAATCACCTATAGCTTATTTTAAATTTTTTGGCGCCAGGTTTGTGAAGTAATTTACGCGTCAAAAAGTAGCAGTTCCAAAAACAAAAAAGCATATACGATTTGCAAGAATGATATGTTCTATGTTTATGGGATATTTCGTACAAACGGGATGGAAATTAAAGAAATTGAAGCATACTGGCACTTTTGCATGCATTTTTGACAGGATGCAAAGTCATTTGCAACAGATGCCGGGAGATACGTTGGGTGGGGCGACATACTGTAAGGTTCCAGCACATTACCCTGATCCAGGAAATCCTGGCCACTACATGAACGTGTTCAAGACTCCGAATACGCTGAATGATGGACAACAACAACCGGTTGATAATTTCACCCCTAGAGCCAATTTAAAATGTTTTAAAGACGGTGCCATTTCATCTGGCGCTAGTGAGGTGAAAGAAGCAGCAGATCGGTAGTTTTGTTGAGGAGAAGCACATGCTTGAGTATATCAGACATCTTGAGGAACTGCAAATTGTATATCTATGATAAGAGAGAATTCCGGATTGTGCTCCTTCGATTCCGAATTCTAGATGGGGGGGGGGCATTGAAAATTTTAAAAACTTGGAGGGGGGGCATCGAAATTTACCGATAACCTCAACAGGGGCCCTGTAAAAATATGAGCTTTTTTCAAGACATCTTCATCCCCCTCCCTCGGTGTAATAAATGTACTTTCCCTAAAACCCGGAATCACGCAAAAAGGCGAATCTGTAAATCCCGTAATCTGTAAAACCCGGAATGATGAGCCGAAATCTGTAAGTACCGTTATCTGTGAAATTGGAATAAATATGAATTTTATACAGTATAATTCAAGGGAGCACGCCAGAAATATTTGTGTAAATTTATACTAACCTTTTAATTACATGTAAATGTTTTCAATTTTCATCGGGCGCCATTTTGAATGTTGAAAGCGGTATATATTATTAGCTTATCGCAGGCGCAATAATTTATGTTAATCTTTGATATTAATTTATGTTACACGATGATACTCCGAAGGGCGACCGAGAAAGATCCGAAATTTAAATTTCGGATCTTTCTCGGTCACCCTTCGGAGTATCATCGTGTAACATAAATTAATATCAAAGTGAACATAAATTATTGCGCCTGCGATAAGCTAATAATATATACCGCTTTCAACCAGTGAACTCTATATATATATATATATCTGGAACGATAACATTCAGTCATTTGATTGCGAAAAAAATGAAGCCTCGATACCAGTCTTTCACGCGGATTGGACGTCAGTCTCAGTCCCTCAAACGTCAGGTTTACGCGGACATAGAGATTATAAATAACACTAGAGGAGGCATTGTAATCTTAATTCAGTAAAAAAAAGGGAACGCGACTATTGGGGGGCAAATTCAAGTCCCGGATGTGTATTCGTGTTCCCATTGGTGACGAGTTTCAAATCAGCCAATGAGAGCACGATTTTATATCCGGGACTTGAATTTGCCCCCCATTAGCTGCGTTCCCAATTTTTAAACTCGATGCCTCCTCTAGTGTTATTTATAATCTCTATGTACGCGGATTGGACGTCAGTTTCATTCCCCCTCTTGCAAACCGTTGCACGGCCAGTATAAATTTGAACGCAATCACGAAAAAAAAATTAAAAACATGGCCAACTCAATGCAATACATTTTAGGAGCAAACTGTTTTGCTCCTAAAATTTACTGCATTGAGTTCGCTGTCGGAAAAAAGTCGAGGAAAACTTCCCCGTGTGGAGAAAAGAATCACTTTTTCAAATATATTGTGTCGTACTGTCGTTCTGGATGCACAAGGAAAGAGATATTCTTGCGAGAAAATTTCATTTCACAGGTAGGTAAATTGACTTGCAACTGTGACTTTGCCGTTGCCATTTTTCGCGATTGTTTGAATTGTTTTTTAGTTTACCAGTTTTATAGTTTTTAGTCAATACACTGGTACGTTATTTTTTAAAGAATTTATTGTGTGATCGGAATTTGCCTGCCAGCAAAATGTAAATGAATATGTACGTGTGTTTGAATATAAATTAGACCATATGGGCTTAGTAAAAAATTATTTTAATAACTACGTTTCGGAGTATAACTCCATCTTCAGGTTAAAAGTGAATAAAGATATAAAAACTGTGATAAAAACTTTCAAAATAATTACAAATTTTATATGTAAGTGATTTTTAATACTGTAAGAAAGTTCTTGAACAGTTGATGACGAAGACAATGACGAATACTTATGTCGTGATTTTTTTGTCGGCTTCACTTTTCGCTCGCTGTTATCGTTCCAGATATATATATATATAGAGTTCACTGCTTTCAACATTCAAAATGGCGCCCGATGAAAATTGAAAACATTTACATGTAATTAAAAGGTTAGTATAAATTTACACAAATATTTCTGGCGTGCTCCCTTGTATAATTGTATAAATTTTTATGTCAAAAAAAAAGGCTAAAAAACAGTACCAACAGAAGCTGTTGATAAAAAATCAAAGGCTAAATTTACTTTTTGTCGACAAAAAGGGGTTAGCCTTTACTCGAGCCTTTACCTTTTTTGTCTTTTATTATTGTCCTCAAAAAATCAAGGGGTTGGCCCATAGGGTTGGGGTTGGCCTTTACTTTTGGTGCAGGAAAATTAGTAAAGTATCGAGTTAGCCATTTTTCAATATTATGCATATTTATATTATGCAAATTGCTTTGTTTTTAGATGAAATATTTTACGTAACCTTAATGCTGTCATGGTTTTTAAACTTTAAAGCCTAAATCGACAAAATCGTAGTGTTTGATCTTTTTTGTGAAACGACAGCAAACTTAAGCTACCCTGGTCCTGGTGTCGAAGCGATTTTAAACTCGAAGATGTATTTGGAATTTGACAAAAACCATGGCTCGTCGACCTACCAGCGTTTCCTGTTAACTCCAAAACTATTCGTGTTCTTTTACTCGGCAAGTTTAGGATGCCTCATGCCGTTTCTACCGATATTTTTTCGTCTAAATGGCATGTCTGCCATCCAAGCTGGCCTCTTGGTTTCAACAAGATATTTAATTATCTTTTGGTCTGCACCTACGCTGTCGTTTCTTGCAAGCAAAATAAACGCTCGCAAATGTGTCCTTGTAATGGCTGTGCTCTTTGGCGCTCTGGCTAACATGGCGTTCGTGTTTACAGCGAAATATCAAGAAAAAACGAGACAGAACTGCGCTGATATTGGCGAAAATGTGAACCAAAGTTTGATGACTAATTTGGGTTCTAGTATATTTAATCATGTCAACACAAACAATTCAATCCATTTTCAAGCTATGTTCAACGTGAGCATTGAACAAGATATATTTCATGCTATTGGTCTGAAATTTGATAAACAGTTCTTGACATTTTTGGTGATAGTAGCTGTCGGCACATTTATGTCAAGCCCGGCAAAGCCCCTTCATGAACTAGTCAGCTTGGCAATCATTAAAGAACATAATGCGAGTTATAATATACAGCGACTCTGCAGTGTTCTTGGCTGGAGTGTCATGTCATTGCTTGTGGCAGTGGTTGTTTACAAGTTACCGTGCAGTTTCAAGCTGTCGCAGAATGTTTTCGACCTGCATTTTGGCTTCCACATGCTATTTGCAACGACAGCTCTCATATTCGTTGTAATCATGAAAGCCCCAGCACACAAAGTGACTGCCAAATTTAAATTCTGCCGAGTACTAAAAGTCGCCTGCAAGAACCCAAATTGCATCGTAGCTATTGTTGCCATGGCAATACTCGGCACAGCGCAATCTGCCGTATCGAGTTACCTATTCTGGTACATCCAAGACCTCGGGGGTAATGAGATACATATGGGGTTAATAGTGTTCGTATCAGGGCTATCCCAGATACCCCTATTATTTTTAACCAAATACCTGATACACTGGCTTGGACACGGTTGGATGTTTTTCATATCGATGTTCGGGTTTGCCACTCGGTTCATATTGTATTCATATATTAACCACCCGTTGATGGTTATCCCAATAGAGTTTCTCCATGCGCTGACATCCTCTTCGATTTGGTTAACATCAATGTCCCTTGCCGTCTTGGTTGCACCAATTGGCTTCGAACGATCAATGCAGAATCTGTTTACCACATCATATTATGGGCTCGGCATGGGCGTCGGCGGTGTGTTGGCATCCATCGGTTACCAACTTTATGGTCCTATACAAGTGTTTGAATGTGCGGCAGCTGTCTGTGCCGTGTACTCGCTGGTCATGGCTCTGTTGCAGTGTCTCATATCACCTCCAGATGAAAATCATGGGTTTCCAATAAATGGGGATTATTATAAAGCAGGTGCTGGCAGTAACAACCAATCTGATTGGCTACTTGAAGCTTTGAATGCCGAGGAAGAGGAGATTCAATATTCCAGATCATGACTCGGACATCAAGGTGGTACTAAGGATTTGGTATATTAGAATATGAACCAGTTCAATATAATTCATTACATCAGGGACCAACTGTTCAAAGCTGGATAAGCATAATCCAAGGCTAACTTAAAATTCAAAGCAAACTTCCAAAAGACTGGTTTATAAATTTGGACATATTTCTTCAGAAATCTTGTCCGAGTTTTTTCTCTGAAGTATTAAAATAGATGTGCAGAAAAACATAAACTAAAACAACCTAATCCAACTTTGAACAACTGGCCCCAGAGATAACATACTGTATGTGTGCCATACATACATAATCCAGTGACTAGAATTTTCCAATGTATTTTCATTTGGTTTTGAGAACCCCATGCTATCCAATTAATGTTTTGATGGCAATGGCAAAGCTGGTCAGGTAACTGGTTATGATATGCTAAAACACCTGCCATAAATAGGTCAAAGAGAAATTTCTAAAGGTATAAATAGTGCAAATCATTAAAACATTTTATAGCACGACCTGTTGCTATGGGCAGCTTTGCCACTGTTTTTTACATATTTGTGGCAACGCAAGGGGTCCACAAACTGATATAATGATAATCAGACTGTAAAATAATAGAAATAGCATAGTATAGTAGCTTATTAATTAATTTAGTGTGTGTCAGTTGGACCAGCCTGCAAGTTAAATTTTGCGAGAAAAGACTTGCCCGCAGGCTGATATAATACTTGAAACACAGACAGGTATAAAATTACATGTGAGAATTTAATTATCATTTATTAGTGTGCTCTAGTTTTACAATTAGAATAAAAAGATTATTCTGAAATACACCACATAATCTCTATTTCAGTTGTACCGGCCTATACTTAACCCATCAAGTGGCAGCACTCTCCCCTTGAGGACTAAAATGTCTGGCATGTTAGACAGAATAAAATAACCCACTGTTAGACAGAGTAAAATAACAAACAATTTACTCGTCAGGGAGAGAGTGCTGCCACTCAATGGGTTAAAGGGTTAACCTTGGTCATATGTTTTTATTTCTTTTATGATTTTTTTTCTTTCAATCAACTAACTCAACGTGGCTCTTGGCCTCATTTTGTCTTTATACAGTAATTACACAAATATCGACAATCTGTCAGACTGCAGATGAAGCCCTGTAGACAGATTACCATGACCTCTTCTTGTACAACTAATGGATAGCTTTGTCCATGCACCAAACTGTTTATAAAATATAAGCCACCCCATATTTTAACTGCCACATTTACAAAAATAATGCACCAAGGCCATCAACTAGCTTTACCAACTATAACTGGCCAACAATTAGGTTCATTTTGGCAAGAAAAAATGAAGCTAAACTTTATGTAAATCAAGTTGAAATCTGCATCCGATTTACAGATATTAATTAAACATTCAATTTCCTTTCAATTTTCTTTGAGAATGATAATAATTAATGATATTTTAATAAAATATTGGCAGTAAATTTAAAAAATAGCAACCAATGTTGAGTTTTGTCATTAAAATAAAAATTTCACCTGACCCTGGGACACAACATCTAGTAACCCAAGCTGGCAGGCAATTCATTGACTTATATTAAAACCAAATTATCTGTAGCAGTATGTTTACAACACACCTCAATACAGTATAGTCATATATAGAATTTAATTACTATGATAAACTAACTTCTCTGTGGGTCAAAACCCAAAGTTTGATAATTAATTTCATACAGGTGATACTGGTGGTGAAACCGGTTGATCTGGACTGGAAAGCAGGTTTTCGGCGTTGGATACCATTGCTTGCCACACACCTGTTAACTGAAAAAAAAAAATGAAATGTGTGATACTGAACACCATGTAACACAAAGGGGGGGGGGGGCATTCAAAAAGTGCCCCAAACCACTCCAAACTTTCAGAACATTTAAAAAAATTTAAAAAATAACAGAAAGAGAAACTTACATCTTCATGTTCAATGACCTGTGAAGCGACCAATGTCTTGAGCGCAACATGAAGTATATTTAAATTTGCATGAACTAACTGTGTCTCTAGCTGAGCACAGTGTAACGAGAAGAAATTTCGTGTTTCCATGTTGGAGATTTCATTTTCCTGTTGTACTATCCTGGATTCCAGTTCATCAATGGCAGAGTGTTCCTGGCCCCTGGCTTGGGCATGAATCTGGCGTTTCTTAATTTGTTGCATTTTTTGTAAGGCATGTTGGTGATCCTTTAAAACGCCACTCTCCAATCGTTTGCACAAGTCCTAAACGATAGGCCATATTAGAGCATGCATGTTGGAAATGTTTATTACAAGTCCACTCGTACCTTATAAGCTGAAGTCACATCCAGAAAATATGCCAAATGCTCTGCTGAACTGTCGTCATCTGCCATGTACTGCAAATGGCAAAGGTGATGCATTTAAAATTTATGAATTTAAAATTCTCTGCATGCATGAGGGTGACACATGCTCTCTCTGTTACCCAGAGTTGACCACAGCCATTGCCGGGTTTCAGGGTTTGGTCATTAAGGCCTAACAAGGAGCAGTTGCAAAAAATGCAACACTTAGGTCCTCTGCCATACCTGTTTAGCTGCGGCTTCTGAAGCTTTCTCAAAATGGACAGATAATCCTTTGAAGCCTTGTTTTAAGTTGGTCCAATTTGTGTTAGTTCCGGTTGCCCAAGAAGATGACGGAGTTTTATCATTGCTTAAATTACTGTAAGAATGGTACAAAGAAAAATGTACAGACTTGAAGCCACTAATTCAGAGGTTAGTGGATATGCCTTCCACCTCTCTGGTCACAACTGCTGCAATATGTGCCTAAATGCATCTGACTTTGTTAGTCTACTCTGTCTAATGTCAGACTAGTTTATGCATCAAGGAGAGAGTCTTGCACATTAACCCATTAAGTGGCAGCACTCTCCCCCTGAAGAGTAAAATTGTCTGGCATTAGAGTAAAATAATAAAGTGGGGCACATCTGGGCGCAATGTGACTCAATGGTTAACATGGCTTACTTTAATTGTCTTGCAACATCCAACATGTCAGATGCATAATCTAAAATAGTGAAGATGAAGACAGGATATCAGAATGATCAAGCTAAATCTATTTTCCCAATTTTTTTCAGCAAGAACCCTAAATTAGTTATAAATCACTATTTGACATACTAAGCGTCCTTGTTCCTTGTCGATCCATGATTTCTTTCAGATTATAACAACTATCATGAACTTTAAACAGTTGTTCCCTTGCTTGGCTGAAATGCAGCTGTGTGTCTTTAGATACCAACTCCTAAATACGAAACATTATGCTAAAATAATATGCAGTGTTATATTACAAAAGTTACATGTATACCAGTCCTGTATGACGATTACCAAATGGTTTGAAGCAATGGAGAAGATTTGCTGATTCTGTGAACCAACCGTAGTGAATTACATACAGTAGATCTATCCAAAAGAACTTGTATTGTGTTGTAAATGTGGCATAGCGGCTATTGTATAATCTGCTGTTGTGATTAGTGTAACGGAAACCCAAATACAACTTTAGTATTTATATTTTTAATTAAAGTTTCTTTTTATCATTTGAGGGGTCCATATCTGTAGTTTCATAGAAAAGTTTAAAAAATCACTATTCCATGGACTGAGCTATACAGCCTTCATAAAACTGCCCCCAGGACTTTTAGAGAGAAGAGTTTAGATCCAGTATTTATAGTAGTTGGTAGGCAATACACAATATATAGTGCAATGTGATATACCTTTGCTCTACTGGCTGAAGCACTGGTCATAAACTCATCTGGAATTCCTTTAAATTGATCTTTGAGTTTGACTCCTATATCCTATTAAAAAAAAACAATCCTTTTCATTGTATTCATTAGATAGGGTAAAATTATTATAACAGAGTAGGATGCATATTGCACAGGGCAGATATTCTGATAAGCAACACTTACTGATCCTTTTGTTGTCATAAACCATACAAAGATTTTATCACTGTTTAGAACAGGATGTCGAGCAATTATATTGAGAAATCTTCTTAATGATCGTCTTCTTGATTCAATAAACTCTTTACTCGCTTCAAAGTACAACAATGATAACATGAGCTTATTGTGCATATGTACAGTAGCTGTCTATGGTACAGTATGTCTTTTATCTGAATACATGGGGGGAGGGGGTTACAGTATATGCAAAGGTAAGAGAATTCCAGTGCAAGATTAATCATATGGCAACAATCCCTGAGGCAACAATAGGAGATAATTTTTCAAAATAATGTGAAATTTTGTATTTATCAGAAACCTTTTACATACCTCCAACAGCCTTCTTTGGAGGTAACTTTGGTACCATTCGATATGGAAAACGTGCAAGTAATAGATCAAAGAGAGCTTCAAAATCTTTGTAACGTCGATGGACTGTCGTTTTGTATTTCTTAAAAAGAATCGTATTACAGATAATTAACTTTATTTCTGAATAATGCATTTTCAAACCAACTGGGACCCCTGATTCTACACAAAATCACAGATATCGAGAAAGGTTTCATACTTAGAAAATATTTCAAAATACCATATAATTTTAACTGTGGCAAAAGAACTAGAGGAGGGGGACTAATTTTCAGCCAATTTGGTGATCGTACATAGTTTTACCTTTGGGGGCAAAGCCCCCGCCCCCAGTTCTGCCACCCCTACCCTACAATAGACAAGACACCATTACTGTTAAATGGCCAACCGGAATCATCTAGAAATCTAACCATACCTCGCTGTGTATGCTGTATTCGTTGTGTTTGAGAAGTATTCCTTTTTTCTCAGGAACGAGATCCACAGATATTGTATCCATAGCAACCAGTTGCTCATACTTAAGTCCAAGGATTGCAGGATTCTTCTTCTTCTGCACTTGAATGCTCGCAGCTTTCACATCTGTTATGTCACCAAGGTCTGGTTTGGGAAGTTCTGCGGTAAAGAATAAATATACATGCGTACTTTATTTCCAGCGCTCTCCCCTTAGATGAATAATTAAAATAAAGTTGGGTGCATTTCCAGTAATTAGTGATTTTTCTGAGAATGGCATCAAATCTCTCTCCATGATTGTCGAATCTGGTGCATAATTTGCAAGTGACAAATAAAAAATGTGAATGGGACAGAAGCATACAGAAATACCGTAACATACCCATGCCAATGAATCCTTCCAGTAACTTCTCATTAACCGGTTTCCCCTGCTGTGCAAGTGCAGTAAGAGCAAGTGCCTTGTAGAGACCATCTCTGCCAACTGAACCTTCATGACCAGAGTCTGCACTCTCATATATCTAAAACAAATTTGACACACATTAAGTCATGATGCATGGGCAGGTTAATAGACCCTTCTGGAAAGTATATCACTTTGGCTACACAGCCTCATTTTCATGATTGAAAGGCTTGAATTAATTAATCTCACATACATGATAACAAGGGAAGGGTGTATTAACCATTAACTTACTACCTATTAATGTAAATCCCTGGGGGGAGGGTAAGAGGTGGGGGATTGTCCAGAACATTCATCGCAATCTTCAAGTATTTTGCATATTAACCGGAATTTTACACAAAAGTTCATTTTTTGGTCAAATCCCTACCCCTTGCTTGCACCCCTCCTTTATTTACTTTGATTTAGGTTATATTGATAAAAAAGTTTCACCCTCTGCCAGAGTGTACCCTTTTAGTGGCAATGCGCCATGATGTGCCCTTCTTTATTACTTTATTCCATCTAATGCCAGATGAATTTACTTGTCAAGGAGAGAGTGCTGCCACTTCATGGGTTAAACACACTGGCAAAGCACCCTGATGCGCCTTACTTTATTACAGGCATTAAAATAGCGTGTCCTTGTACACACTTTGTGTCCTTGTAAAAGGCGAATGTGCCCTTGTAAATTGAAAAGTGTGTACTTGAAAATATATTAAACCGAAAATATATTAATGTAATCCACGCAAAATGGCCAAATATTTTCCAAATTCTGTTCTCAGAACACTGAGAATGCCATTTCAGAGACCCCCTTAAAAGCTCGCGTCTTCGACGCTAAACTTGTGGCTTCGCCACTCGTTCTCGTGAGTCTGCGCATTTATACCAAAAATATGCCTCTGAAGGCAAAGTGTGTCGTTGTAAAAATTCCGTATTTTAATGCCTGCTTTATTATTTTACTCTGTCTAACACCAGACGATTTTACTTGTCAGGGGGAGAATGCTGCCACTCAATGGGTTAATCTGTCCATGCATCCTGTTAACTCTTTAAGTGACAATACGCCCACATGTGCTCTACTTTATTATTTTACTCTAACACCAGACAATTTTACTTGTCAGGGGGAAAGTGCTGCCACTCAATGGTTAACTCTGAGTGGTAGCACTCTCCCCTTGAAGAGTAAAATCATCTGCCACTAGACAGAGTTTAGGCAAGGTTAAATAAACACGTGTCATCACAAATGTTACAAATCGGATAATATTTGCATCAGCCATACATGGGCAAAGGGGCATCAAATTTAACAAATTTGCCAGGAATAAATGCTTAAGACCGATATAATAAATGTCCTAATTACGAACAAAAACCCCGCGCATAAAACGTACTAACCGTGGCTACAGTCGCAACGGGCAGACCAGATTTTGTCAAAACCTTTTGCAACACATCTTTCTCAATTTTACTGGATCCGTCCGTGCAAAGAGTTTGATAGACCTCTCGATAAAAGGCCGGAATTGTCCCTGTCAAAACAAAAATAAAGCTATAAAAACACATTAATAGCTAGATATTATAAAAGGAGGTTATACAGCTTCTTTTTTCAAGCAGAATTGTTTATTTTGTGCATATAAGACAGCAAAATAAAAGGTTAAAAGCTTACCGTAAGTCATGGACATTTTGCATGGGTTGTGCAAGGTGATATCCGATACACTTCAAAATAACATCGCTCAAAAGTAGGTCGCGGCAAAATTAGATTTTTTTTAAAAACGTACGTTTGTTTTGAGAGAATAGACATTTTGAGAAATATATACTCATACTGTAAATAATTAGCCATATAAATAAGTAAGTTGTAAATAAGTAAGTTGTTTGGGAATTTTTAATAGAATAAAACAGTTTATTTTTCAAGGCAGGGAAAGGGTGTTACCATAGGTGTGGCCCACTGATCTGCATGGGTATATCATTATATTGAGGGAGGGGGTCAAAGGTTTGGTTAGTTGATGAAATTAAATTATAAGCGTTAATTGAAATATGAAATAAAAAAGATAGATATTGACTCCAACTGCTCCAAGTAGAAAAAAAATGAATGGCACTTCAGGGCCATTGCCACTTAATCCTGTAAGTAGCAAAACACCCTACTTTATTATTTTGCTCTAACACCATGAGTAATTCCATGCCATTTCAACACAGGCATGACACCCACCCTCTCCAAATTTCTTTATATTTCGCAGGCAGTTAACATTGTGTGGGAATAGTTTAAGTTCAAAATTTGAGCATCGTAGCTGCAATAGTTTTTGAGATATCGAAATTCGAAATATGGCCTGAAAAGCAGAAAAGTGGGCGTGGCCAATGCTAAATTCACCATTACCCTATTTTACATTTTGACCTGTAACTTCCTACCCGTGCATGGTATATCCATCAAAATTTGCACAAAGATGTATTTGTATGTCGAGATTTCAAATATTGCACTTTCATCTTTGTATCTGCAACCAGTAATGTGTTATGGCACAGCAAAATGTCTAATTATGTGTTTCTGAAGACACAAAATATACATCATCTTTATTGGAAACATTTTTATGGAAGCCATACAGACACATCAGTAATTTTTATTCCACATCATATCCACATGCTATTCTACTTTCAAGCAAAATTTGGTGATGGTTAGTTGCCTGCTTTAAAAAGTAGAGCCCTTTAAAGTTGTCGTATTTTCTAAATAACTTTAATAGTACGTTTTGGGTGTTTGTTAAGAATAAAATACATTTATTGAGAAATGAGACTGCCAAATACCTTAATGTTTGATTCTATCATTCTTTTTTAATAGTACATTATGTTCTCCAAGAGTAACTGTTATTTCTTGTGTCAAATTACCTTTGATTAAAATCGATGCAGTATATATAGAGATCACTACTGTTTATCCATGAATGTGCGCAAGACTTCTTGATCTGTAGGCTGCAGTTTGTACTGCCTCCCAGTGACTATTGTTAGAACACCAATGTTAGAAATAATGTTCTCATCCGAAACTAGCCTCCTGCGCAGACGTTGTTAGTGGCCCGAGGCCTCACCTAACGTCTGCTCACATTCGCTATACATTTGACTTCCCGGCAATTAACCAATCACAATCATCTACACGATAATTGGAAGATCGGCCTTCAATGACCTTCACACGCATGGGCTATATCAACAAGTCTGTAGTATTTTTAAATTTGAAAGTTTTAACACTGCGCATTAGAAAAAGGCTTTTCAGTCTATTATAAACGAAAAGGATGTTGTCGTAAATCTTACAACTGACGCAGGAAATCCCTTATTTATCACGCCGTTACCGAAGCTATTCCATGTAATATTCGGATTTAAATATTTAAACAAATTGTAAACATTGTAAACATTTAGTAATCGTGGTTTCGGTTGATAAATTCAATACGAGATCAAGTCAAAAAAACTACACGATCTAGGAGTCAGTGCTGTGTCATTATTAAGTTGAATCGAGAGCGATAAAGAAGCGAAGGCATTGGAAGAATGGAAATATTCTGACTGTATTATATGCAGAGTCATTGTTGAAGACCGAACGATGGAAACGAATGCTTCAACAAATTGTACGTATAGCAAAATGGTTTGTGCTTTGGCTGTTGATGCTCATGCGATTAAAGAATGGTATGTATTATAATAAATCCTAAAAATGTGTTCGCTTTTGTAATTCCCAAAGACACAGGAATCGATCGGGCTTGGCCATTTTAATAGTCATTATTCATTAATATTTTATATTGTTTATTTAAATTGAATTTGTCTTTTTATACATTGCCTCGTATTATCTATTTGCATGTAGTACTAGCATGCAAGTTTATATGAGGGCAATTATGAAGGGTTTACATCAGAGGGTTGGGGCATGTATATTAACTAGAATGGCTCATAAACTTGCTGGTGCTACGTACAATAGATAATACGAGGCAACGTATAAATCAAGACAATATAAAATAACGACTATTAAAATGGTCAAAGCCGATCGATTGCTGTGGCTTTGAGAATTGCAAATGCAAACGCATGTTTAGGATTTATTATAATACATACTGAAATGAGCTTCATGCATCAATAGCCAAAGCACAAACCGTTCTGCCATACACTTTGTCTTTGTCTTCAGCAATGACTCTGCTGTGCCATATAATACAGTCAGAATATTTCCCATCTTCCAATGTCTTCGCTTCTTTATCGCTCTCGATTAAACTTAATAATGACACAGCACTGACTCCTAGATCGTGTAATTTTTTGACTTGATCTCGTATTGAATTTATCAACCGAAACCACGATTACTAAATGTTTACAATTTGTTTAAATATTTAAATCCGAATATTACATCGAATAGCTTCGGTAACGGCGTGATAAATAAGGGATTTCCTGCGTCAGTTGTAAGATTTACGACAACATCCTTTTCGTTTATAATAGACTGAAAAGCCTTTTTCTAATGCGCAGTGTTAAAACTTTCAAATTTAAAAATACTACAGACTTGTTGATATAGCCCATGCGTGTGAAGGTCATTGAAGGCCGATCTTCCAATTATCGTGTAGATGATTGTGATTGGTTAATTGCCGGAAAGTCAAATGTATAGCGAATGTGAGCAGACGTTAGGTGAGGCCTCGGCCACTAACAACGTCTGCGCAGGAGGCTA